GCCCTCTTTAGTCCCTCCGCGTGCTCTCTCTCTCTCTCTCGTTTCACGTGCGAGGAAAGTTATAAAGAGCGTGCCGGGGAATGTGTAACAACTTGTTCAGAAAAATAAATCAAGAAATAATATCCCTCTGCGTCATATGAGCCCATTTTTCACCACCGCCGCAGCCAATTGAGATTTATGATGCGTAGGGTTTAGTGATTTTACATTGAAAGCGAATGTGAACGCTTGGGGAAGGTGGTGCTCTTCCAATAGGCGTCAAAATCAATTTACATGTGCGAGGGGTGATAAAAAGAATACGGCGAATGTTGAAATGAAAAGAAACTTATGGCATTCAGAGACAAATTACAATTTGTCCCCTTCAAATACTCCCCCTCGCTTTTAATAAACTTATCCCATCGTTATTGTTTGTCACTTGCTAAAGCAATACTGGAAATCTTATTCATAAGTGCCTTTAATTGTCGTGACTGCCTCAATGTCTTAAATTGATTCAAAACGTTTGTCTTTCATGATCATTTTGATTTTGGGAAAAAGCCAGAAATACAGTGCAAAAATCCGTTGAATACGGTGGATGAGGACATACCGCAATGTTTTTACTTGACAGAAATTGTCATATCAGAAATGATGTATGACGCGGAGCGTTTTCATGATGGAGGACGAAACCGTTTGCCCATTTTTTTCACGTCTTTTTCTACATTCTATATGTTTCTTAAACATTCTAATAAGCCTTTATAATATTTAGAGTTCACTGTAAACGTTTTGAAACATCGAAGAGCAGCTACGACAGCACAATGAAAGGTACTTACGAAAGAGGACTTGCAGTATTGTTTTAGCAAGTGACAAGAACGATGGGATAAGTGTATTAGAAGCGAGGAGGAGTATTTTGAAGGAAACTAATTGTACTCTTAAGTTGTCTAATGTAATAGGTTTCTTTTTATTTCAATATTTATCATATCTTTTTTATCACATCTCGTATAAAACATACACATATATATATTATAGAGTGAACCGCAAAAAATTTTTTTTTGAAAATTGATTAGTAATACCTCCTAAAAGCTATGGACCTCAATATGGTTTGGATAAAATTTCATCGAAATCGATTAATATCTTCAGGTTGCCCTTCAACCTTGCAGTTAGTAAGTTTATGCATTTCTTCATAGATGTGTCAAAATTCGAAAAAATATTTGAATTTCAATACAGTTTAGTATTATTTGTATTTGGTCGCTGAACATGAATCCAAGGTCAGAAATATACATTTCAAAATGACGGATCCGAAATATATCGTTAAATAATACATTAAGATTTATCGAAAAATATGATAGATATGGAAAAGTGTTTTAAATAAAAATTGTACGGTTCGAAGGGGGACATGAGAAAATATCATTGATTTTATTTTGGCGGGGTTAAGCTCAGATCAAGATCACATCGATTTTTTTTTTAAACCGGAATTATATTTTTTTTACATAACACGATTCGTTTAATTAGTCTGTACATAAAAGTATTAAAGTTATCGAAAAATCAATATTGTACAAGATATTTTATACTTTATCGTGCCGTATTTTGATATATAATATGAAACATCTCATAAACTATTGATTTCTTGATAATGGTAGCTATAATATTTTTAGGCACAGAATAATGAGATGAATCGATTGTAAAGTTGTTGGTGTAAAGAAAATACACATTTGCTTTAAAAATTTGTAAGAAAAATGCAAAAACTTACTAATTTCAAAGTCGAGAGGCAACCTCGAAGATGTTAATCGATTTCGATGAAATTTTACCCAGACTATATTGAGGTCTATAGCTAACTTTGGGAAGGGGGGAGGGTATTACGAATCAATTAAAAAAATTTTTTTTCGGCCCACCTAATATAATATATATATAATAATGAAAAAAAATATATATATATCTTTTTATTATAATAGCTATATGATAACATATGACGTAATTCTTTGTAATTATATTTAATTAAAGAGTTCCGCTCGATAAAGTGAATCGTACACGCGCGCGTCATGCGCGGGGAGCTCACGTGACAGCCGGAGATGAAAAAAGTGCTAGCGCGAAAATGCTAATTACAACGAGGTTAATTGCATCGCTATTACGACACTAAAGTGTCGACGTGTCATTGTTGTCACACACGAGCGAGCCTGCGTGGGTGGGTGCGTGCGTGCGTACGTGGGTGCGTTCGTGCGCGAAACCCGTCCAGAGGGTAGCCCGCCATTGAACCGATACGCACGTTTATATCGGGGCCGTAAGTTTTGATTATGTTCGCGTGCCGGGATGTCATTACGTGTCATCCCTCGTACCCACCTTCCCCCCTCCCCTCCTCGCCCCTCTCTCGTTGTGGATCCTCAGTGTTAATATATGAGCTTGGAACGTATTCGCGTTCGCACACCTGTCCCGCTGCGCGCATGTATCGGGTAATCTAAAATGATCGGTTTTGTTTGCGTAATTCTGACTCTCTATCTAGTGTACGAGTGTCTATATACAACTGTTTTTTGTAATGTACGACAGCACGAGGAACATTGGAGTTCGAGCACTTTGCGACAAGTCCGATAATCACGATAATGATATTGATAAGTAAGAGGGATTTTCTGCTGATAAATAAAAAAACAAGCAAATGAGCTTTCTGTGTAATCAATATGATAAAATGTTGAAATGCTTCACACATCTAGTGTACTCGCTGCAAAATTGATAGAAGTAGTGGTTATTAATTTTATCAATATGAGGAATATTATATGTTGAATTATATTTACTCCGATATCACAATTATTTCGACTAATTGCAGTTCGGCGCGAATAATTTGCGCGCGTGTCTTCCTTTTATGAATGAATCAATTGCGGTTAATTAGACTGAATGGAAGTCTAGATTTTTATAGGGCACTCTTTGTACAATGATATCTCTCGCATCAGTATGTGTACGAGTTTCTCGCGTGTTGTCATATTGCCAGGTTCCCGCCTCGACATATTCGGCGTGTCACTTATGTGAGTGGTTATATTAATAATTTATCGTTCACCCTTGACGTGGTGCGAATAAATCGCTGCCGCACGAGAGTCGCCGACCGTGGTTTCGTAAAAAAATGATTAGAAAGATTAAAATTTCGCTCAAGGTAAAACGTTTCATTATCCTTCGTGAGAATGAGTGGAAAGTTCATTATCTCTCGTGAGAATGAGTGGATTAAAGCGCGCGACTTATAATTCTTCTTAGGATTTCAGGGAATATAGAGTGATAATTTAAGCCGGATTCGGATATATATAGATGATACACATAAGCAAGCACAATCGAACCTCGATAACTCGAATCTCAAGGGAAGAGCTAAACTTTTCGAGAACTTTTATAGAATTTTTGACTTATCGAAATTCGAGTAAAAGAGGGTTAACATATGAAACAATATAAACATAATAAGATTCCCCGAATTATAAAAAAAAATACAATAAGTAAGTAAGGTAGATGGGAATCGGCGTGATTATTGGTACGCAATATTTAATTTATATAAAATTTACTTTATTCTAAAAATCAAATGTTTCGGCTATCTTTTTTAGCCATCTTCAATGACAATTTACAATAGTTACATTTAAGAGCGAGAGTTAAATGTAATTATTGTAAATTGTCATTGAAGATGGCTATAAAAGATAGCCGAAACGTTTGACTTTTAGAATAAAGTAAATTTTATGTTAAACATTGCGTACCAATAACCACGTCGATTCCCATTTGTCTTACTTACTTATTGTTTTTTTAACATATGAAAATTCGACTTACGGAGGTTTTATACGAGAATTTATAATTTATAATTTTCCGATTATAATGGCTTCTAAAGGGAAAAAAATTCAATATTTGACAGTGAATTATTTATTGCATACATATAATAAATGTAATCATAAAACAAATACCAGGTTATTACTTATGATTATACATAGCTATATACAATTTCGAATTGTAGAAACAGCGACAATAGAAGTTCGATTTATAGGGGCGAAGAGGTGAACTTCGGCTTGTAGAGGTCTGGCTACTTTAAATTCGAGTTGCAGAGGTAAAATAATAAATCTAAATATTTGACAAATAATTCGGGTTAAAGTACGTTTTATTTTGATTCATAAAAATTTTCCGAAATGGAGTGGAAGATAATGAACAAAATTTTCGTCTTATATAGAGGTTTTCGAATTGTAGAGGTTCGAGTTATCGAGGTTCGACTGAGAATAGAAATTGACATTGATTTTTATATACACATAATCGTGTTCGATCCATTGCGGATTTATTCGCAAACTTTGAATATTTGAAATATAGGTGCACAATGCAGTTCGTGCCTTTTTTCACGAGCTCGAGATTCGCGACCGAGAGGATTCGTTAAGTCGGGCTTTCTCGGGATATCGATCCTCGCGGGTGACGTGAAGAAAGTTAAATTTCTCAGAGGAGTGCCGGAAAACGCGAACGTCGGTCGGTTGGTCGGTCGGTCCCTAAGACGAAAGTATCGGAAGGGGAGGGAGTTGCGTCGGTCCCTGGCGTACGAGAAGCCGTGGCGAAACGAGTTCAAAATCCCGTCCGCGGGGCGAAACTTGACGCGGGCCGGACAAGGAAACGGACCGGTCGGCGCGACCAGCCGGAAAAGTTGAAATTATAAAAATTTCAGATTTCTGAGCGGTTGACACGTGACACGACGATTCATACTCAAACAGAGAAAATAAGAATCTCTCCCGGGAGCTCTGGCGCGACCGAGTTTCTCTCGTACTTCCCAGACGCCCCGGAGATACGATACAAAATTTCGGGGTGAAATAACGCATTCAGCAGGTTTCTCGACAAATTTTTACAATTCTTTCCATTGAAAAAATTGTTATCCTTATGCAATTATCTATAGTCTAGGTAGGATCTCTTCTTTTCTCTGTTAGAATTTCTAAAGTTTGTTGCAAATTAATGTTCGCAATAGTTCTTTTTATATTTTCTGATTTTCTATTATTTGCAATTGTCTTGTCTTACCCAATTGACACATGATAATTTGTTTGTTGCAGGACCGTCGTTTTGGGGCCTGATAAATCCGCAGTGGTCCCTCTGCTCCAAAGGAAGGCGACAGAGTCCCATCAACATCGAGCCCGACAAGTTGCTTTTCGATCGTCACTTGAGACCGGTGCACGTCGACAAACACAGGGTAAATCTATTTAACCTTTCGGTCCGCGAAAATTGCGAAGTGATTCGCGAGTGGAACTCTTGCAGGCTTTTAGGACACGCAGACGTAAAGTTAGATCTTCGTGGAGAAGTTGTAATTTAAAACTTTGTTTTAGAAAGAGAGAGGTTTAGCAAATTTTGTATCTAAAGCGTCGTCTACAATGAGACTTGAGACTTAAGATTTAAGAAAATCGATCAATCATATAGTCGATTACTCATCTCACACGAGAAGAACAATCGATCGTGATTGGTCAATTCTCTTAAATCTCAGGTCTCAAAGTCTCATTGTAGCCGCCGCTTAAGAAATGCCCGACTTACGTACAAATATTTAATTAAGGTCAACTATGCAAAGTATTTTGCCATAGAATACGCACTAATTTCACAGCAGCGTACTCTATTTTTTTCTTTAATTTACAAAGTATTTATACGTTTTCCACATTATTTACCGTGGTTTGCCAATCTTCGACAAATTAAGATTTAACGCGACAACATCGCGGGTGCGACCTGTACACATCATTGCGCGCGTTCGAGTATGATCTCGCGGAGAAGGGTGCGAAGAAGTAAATCCCGAAGTTCGGTCTCTCGTGCCCGTGTGCACGTCCACTTCAAATGAAGACGAAAGAGTCGTCTGATGGACGCTCGTTAGTCAAGCGGGAGTACGTACTGCAGGGTGTCCCTCGGCGGGATGATTAAATTGCTCGGGTTTTTGCGTTTGGCGGACGGGTAATGAGAGATACCTCTCATTGATATTAATGATTTCCGAACGCGGCCACTCATTATGACTCATGATGCATTGTTTACTGCGGATACGTTTTGAATACGTTGCGACTATTGCGTGTAATTACGCGTCACGCACTATCATGATGTGTATTGCAATTGAGTTGATTTCATCGCGAGATCTGTATATATTATATTTATATGTATATGTGTGTGTGTGTGTGTGTTTTACACACACACACACACACACACACCCATATTTTATATATATTTATATATATATATATATATATATATATATAAATAAAGAGCCGCACTTTATAATTAAAACAAGTCAGAATAAAATTATAACAGTATGATAATTATTTTAATTATTTGAAGCCCGATGCACATTATCTCGAATAAAATGAAGTATAAATGGTATCGCAGCTAGAAAAATAAATGCAGTGCACGTTAATGAAATTTCATAATTACACAATGCAACTCGATTCACGTACTGAATAAATATATGATTCTGTTTAACGTTAAATATAACAGCAATTTTCATTTTGCATAATTGTATAGCTTTCATTTGTAATATGCACGCTAAAATTTCGTATTTACCGAAATTCTTATTTCGCGAAATGGAAGAGAATTGTTACATTACGCGATACATTTCTACACAATATACGAGAGAGACGCAAATATAAAATTGTATATTTTTAGTATTTATGAAAAATTCGCATGGTGACTCATTGACTCGAACATCGAAGTCTAAGAAGTTGTCTAAACTCGATAAGAATTCCGCATCAAAAGTTATTAAGTCGATATTTCATTCAGTATTAATGCCGAAGTTAAATTAAAATTATAACGCGCGGGGAATGATTCATTTGGCTCGAAACACCTTTCGAAAGGCAAGGATAAAATCACGGTTGGTTACCGTAAAAGTATTCCCAGAGCTGTCGCGTGATAGTAATGGATTTGGAATTCACCGGCGAGAGCTGCTCCACTTTCCCGCTGTCCATTTTTCACTGGCCGAGTTCGTTGATTCGATAATAAAGCCATTAATTACGCGAGGCCACCTATTTAACGCTGATTTCCGCTCCATCAGTGAGAGGATGCCTCGAAGAGAGCTTAGAGGGAGGAACGTTAATTTACCATTAAGAAAACATTTATTCATCATACCACTCGTCTGCTCGAAGCTGCTCGGATCGATTCTTTTTTTCTTTTTGACGATAGTAACTTTTTAATAATTTTTCAGCGGAATGAAAAGACAGATCGGACGTGGATGTGAATTTTTAGAAAGCGACACGAAGAAATGGCGCGCTGTTTGAGGAAAACGTTTATTGTCTCTTTTTTTTATTTCAGACCATGTATTGTATTTCTTATACAACCATATTCGCGTTATTTTGAATTTTCGCCTATCTGCATGTACAAGTGACTCATGCATGTAGTATGAGCGCATTGAAGAATATATTGAGGGGTCGAAAGCCGTTTATAAATGCATGAACGAAAAGTCTCTGTGAACTTTCGATATAGAAGAAGTATGAACTTTCGATGTAGAATGGAAGAACTTGTAACGCGCGCGCGCTGCTCGATTTACATCTCCATTTATATTCTCATTCATATCTTTTTGCTTTCGGGACACAACTCTATAATTCGAATTTTACAGAGGGAATAAAAAAGAGTTACGGAAAGTATAGTGTGTACACGGCGGATGGATCGCGGAGATTCGACGGAAGGGAAAAATGAAACGCATGCGCATTATATACCTGCCTGGGAACATCACACTTTATTATTCACGCAAAAATAACACCTGCTATTTTTTGATACGTATATATATTTTTTAATGACTCTCTCTCTCTCTCTCTCTCTCTCTCTCTCTCACTTTCTGGTTTGCCTTACAAAAACCACACATATTTTGCATGAAAAAATACTTCGATAATAGACCTTTTTTATAAAATTAATAAGCGACCGACGCGGCGACGTCCCGTCGTAAATTTTTTCATTATGACTTCCATTTCTATCAATTTACCGTCGCCTTCGTCCGTCGTGCACGTCGCTTTGTTCAATTCCGTCGATCTGTGTACTACGTAACGCTCCCACCGAGATATTTCTATCGCGGCACCGAAGCGTTATATGGTCACCTCCTTCCTCTCTCTCGTGTTCAATGTGCTTCCCACCCATTTTCCACGGGACATGCACCGCGCGCTGGCATGGGTCGCGGTCTCGGGGCGTTATTCCTCAGAAAAGCGAACATGAAAAATGCCCGAGTAACCGTGACAATGCCTTCTCTCGGATACGGCATTGGATACGGAGGGAAGGGGGAGAGGTTTCGCAGACGGATACGCGGACTCCCGTATTTCGCCCGTCTCCCCATGCGAGACGCTGACCGAAAACTCCACGCGCGACGCGATATTGCCCGCGAAGGGATACAATAAATACGGCGCGATCGTGACAATAACTCTTTTGTACCAGATGCAAGCGACCAGAACTGGCTCGCGACGCGCGGATATTATTGCGAGACGTCGGTGCCTCTCAATGTTGCGACTCCTTTTATCGCATTTCGTTGCATCTCGCGGGAAGGAGGGGGGTGGGGAGGGGAGCTGATAAAAGTCCGCTCGCGTATATCTACTGCAATCTTTACCGCTTCGATAAATGTCGCCTAAAATATATAAAACGTATATAAATATAAAAACCGTTTGCGTTGTAAACCCGACACCGCTTTAGTTAATAGAATAAGTTCCGCGAGAGAGGCGAGGTTTGATGGATATTTGCGAACTGACGAATTTCATACCGAAAAAAACTTTTCCACTTCCCCCTCGCTTGCCGGGGCTTCGCTTTCACATCACATTCCACGCGTTTTCGCTTATTTTCCTCGCGACTTTTGCCGCAGCGGCCTGGCTTATTCCGCTCGTATATATCTACATGCGTTATTCAGCGCAACCAGCTATTTGTCCACCCACTCTATCCGCGGAAGTCGTAGATGTGATATCTATTTCGCTTCCTGTTCCTGTTTCCTCCCGCTTCACGGGAGAAGAAGGGTGAAAGGGAGAAAAGTGCGCATTCTTCGACTTCGCCGAGCGCAGACGGAGACCACAAAGTGCCTTCCGCGGAAATGCACGTGAAAAGGTTTAAACGCGCTCCCGAGGTGTATCGTTCGCCGCTGTTCCGTCCTCGTTCCCGTCGTCGTCGTCGTCTCCTTCTCGGATCTCTCGTTTCCATTGCTCTCCTTTCGCTCCTCATCCCCGCCCTCATCGTAGAGTCAATCTTTTCCACGTCGCCGTCAGTAGCCCGTGTTCTCACGGGCTGCAGTGCGATTCGAGCCCGCGGAGCGCTACATCGTCACCGGATGCATTCCGACGCGCTTTGAAACGAGCCACGAACGGGACTCTTCATTGTTTGCCAACCCTCCAGCAAGCGGCTTCCTCCCTTCTGTATACCGTAGCGCGCGAGCGAAATGGGAAGCGCGCTAAAGAGAGTTCTCTCAAGTATCCTCCCTGCCTCCTTGCTCCGCGCTGTTAACCGCGTCGACGCCCCGCGTCGCCGCCGCCGCCGCCGCCGCCGACCCTTCGCCTCTCTTTCATTGAAACAAGCGGCGTGAAACCGCCGAGAAATCACACGCGGCGGCAAACACACGAGGCGCGAAAGTTTTTGAAAGTTTCATTTCAAACAGGAATCAATGGGGCCCAGAGAAAAAGAATTGAGTTAGATGCGGCAGCGAGATCAAATTAAAGCGAAACTAAAGTAAAAGAGAAATATACGTAGCTTCGAAGGGTCTTTCTCGCTTTTTCGAAGATAAGATGCGAATCTTTCAGTTTCTCGCAAGGGTGATATTCGTGGCCTCGACCCTCGATTTGTCGGAAGCGCGCGAAGGAGGAGGGGGGGGGAGGGCAAAAGGAAGCTGCGACGGAAACCGCACTGACGTCACACCTGGTCCCGCTATTTAAACGCGGTCTCAGGCCGTTTCATAGCCGACGCCGACCGACCGACCGACCGACCGACCGACCGACCGTCCGACCGACCCTCCGTTTGGTACGACGAAGTCGTGCGAGACCTCGGGGTGGGGGGATGGGGGACCTCGTGAATTTATACGCCGTTTAACCCGGTTAAAACTTTGGCACTTAAATTAAACAATAGAACGAACCGCGCGCTCCCCTCCCCCCTCCCCCGGCGCACCTCCTGGAGTCGAACGTACGTCTTCGGCTCAGCGGAGCTTGCTCCAGCCGTTTCATCTCTCCCTTCCATTTCCACCCCCGCCCCTTCTCTTTCTCCCGGAGTACCGCTCGTGTGGCCAGTCCGCCCGCGAAAATGTCTATAGATCGTTTCACCGTACGGTTAGCAGACGTAGATACCGGCAGGTGCCATAATTTCGCTATAGAAACTCACGTTTCCGATGAAACCTAATTCTCCTCGGTCAATTTCTATCCGGCCTTTCTCGCCATTGTCCCATCTGCTGCGATTCGGCAATCTCGTAAAAAGGATTTCGGGATTTGATTATCGGTATTTTATCCCGAGATTGCAAACTGTCGGATCTTTTACGTGAATTGTGATGTGATGTATATTAAAATATACAGAAGAGTAAAAGATCTTATGATTGGACACATATCAGTGGCAAATTTTTTAATTAAAATAACAATATAGTTACTATCGGCTGATCAGTAACTGGATCAGCTTGCAATATTTTTTAGATTGAAGTTACTCTCTAAATCAGATGGATAGTCACTGATTATCAATGATTGTTCATTGAACACATCAGTCCCAAGTATATTTACTATGGTAATGTCAGTGAAATTCAATTTCTCATTATCTCTCGGAAATAACTAATAAATAAGTGAATAATCGCTGACGAATCAGTGGACTTCGTTGTTCTTGATAATTGCACAGCGGATTCGGCTTTGTTCAGCTTATTCTTGGCGATGCAAGGCGTAACTGATTCAGTCAGTGACTTTTCCGCTTATTCAGATTTAAAGAGCACATAACAAATTCCAATTATAATGAAGAAATTCCAGTGGATCCTAAAGTAATCTAGAAAGTAACGAGAGTAATCTAGAAATTTTCGTAAGGTAAGATTGAGCCGTTCCGGTGTATCGGCGCACTACTCTCGCCTGGGGCCGTCGTAATTTTATTGCAACAAGTGATCGAGTAGATTTCGGTCGGGGAATCGGCATCGGGGCCTTTACGAGCTACTTCTATCTCCGGCGCGCACTAAAGCCGCCCGCTAACGGCCCGTCGATACCCGTAGTACGTTTCTTCGCACGAACAATTCCCTCCGCGAAACTAGCGAATTGTATGTGTATACCCCGGGCTCGCCATAATCGAAGCTGTAACGAGCCGGCGTTCTCTTACGTCGCGCGCGCCGGAATTGCCAATTCCCGGACGTGCCCACTGTGGCCGGGCGCCGCCATAATTGAAGCGGCACGTTTCGATAAACTCCGTCGAGTCGAACGGAACGGCGTAAGAAACTGTCGCGGCGCAACTGAAACGACGTTAACCGTTCTATAAACAGAGCGGATTGTTAGTTAACTGGCGCGGGAAAGGGACGCGCGCGAAGAGCGAGGTATATAGCCTTTCGCATTCCATGTACTAGCAGCTAGGGGTGCAGAAGGGGAGGAGGAGGAGGAAACGTACGTGAGTCGCGTGCGGGGGTGATTCCGATGGTCGCTCGATTCGTGTTAATTACCGGACAATGTTGGACTCCGTAACCGGCTTTTGGAGGTCTTTCGTGGCGTTTCCGCTAATCCCTCTCCCACACCCCTCCGACTGCCTTGATTCCCGTTTCACGCGAAAGCTTGATTCTCCGCCGGTTGGTGTACGAACTCGCTAGTTCATCCGATTGGGATCTGTCCTTTTAATTCTTTCTTTTTTATCGCAGTCTTCTCGTCCGACCAGACTCCGTCCGTTCCTGCTGCGGCCACTTCGATCACGAATAAAGATCGCAGTGGGGGGGAGGGGAAGCTCGGAGCCAAATATAATGCCCTGGCCAGAGCTCCCTCGCGCATTATACAACTAAATCCATTTTTCATAGTTCCCACCCGAATTTCTGGAGCGTAATCGCGAAATTGCAGTCCGTATGGAAAACGGATTTAGCGAGTTTCGGCAATCTCGTAAACACTCCGCGAGAACCAGACTTTATACATCAGGAGTCTGGCGTGCACTTAACTAAGCGCTCCCCTCCCCTTCTCCGTCCCCCTGGCCGCCCATTCTCCCTCTTCCTGCGAAACTCGATTATTCTCACGACTTCTCCCAAAACCGACGTTCCCATTACCTGAAAAAGGAAGTCGTCGGTTTGGGGGGCGGGAGGCCGCGCGGTATTAATCGTGAAACATCGCGCCGCGGCGGCGCCAAAGTCGATGAACTTTATAAGAAGATTCGGCGCGCCACGCGCGCTTCTTATATCCCGACGTCCTTCCCGTTTTCTCTCTCCCCCCTCCCCTCCTCCCCCCTCGAACGTCGACCGCCATTTCCCAACATCGCTCGTGAATTCTGCAGCTCCCTGTGGAAGCAAAATGGGAGTGGATTCTACGGCAGCCGGCCAGAATGCGCAATGACGATTGTTCGGACCTGAGGCGGACGACTTTGCGGAACGACCGGCGAAGAGGGAAGGCGGCTCGCCGAGAGACGGGGGCGTGAGGATGGAAGATGATCCACCCCCTTTTGCCGAACTTTGAGTTTCGCCCGAAAGAAGGGTTCGCCGCTTTTGTGCGCTCCCCCGTTCGAGATCGCAGCTACGGAGAACTACCGTGTTCCGCCGTCGTGAGTCTTCTTCCTTCCGGTCTTCGCTCTCGCCCTTCGGAGTCGCGCCGCCATTGATCCAAGTTCGGCGGCGGCGGCGGCGGCGGCGTCTCCGGTACTCGGAGAAAAAGGAAGTCGAGCGCGAACGAAAAAGACGATCCGAAGGGGTGGCGGACGAATTATTCCGGGCGGGCGGAGGGGTGGAAATCTATCGCGAAATAATGAGTTATGCGCCATTGACTCTCCTCCACGCGTCGGGGGAGACCCGTCGCGCCGCCTGTTCGCATTCATTTCTCTCTGTCATCGTGAGGAGGCCGCCGCTCTTCCATATCTTAATGAATTCGAGAGGAAACAGCAATGGCGAGTCTTTCAAGTGAGAGTAATGATCGATGTAGGATCGATTAAATTTGGAAAAAAACTATACATGGTGTAACTTAAAAACCGACCACTAAGTACATAGCGTTATTTCTTGTAAAAAAAAACTGAGTTGAAAAGTCTTTTTTTTTTCTATACAGTGCCAAATAAAGCGATCACTACTGCAGTAATTACCGCTTCATTGAGCATTGTAGAGAGAAACAGTTCAGGACTTTTTAACTCAATTTTTTATAAGGAGTAACGCTATATGATCAGTGAATACTATTTAAGAACTTTTTTTGTCTACAATGCTTAATGAAGCAATAATTATTGCAGTAGTGATCGCTTTATTTAGCACTGTAGAAAAAATGATTCAGAACTTTTCGGCTCAATTGTTGTACAAGAAATAACGTACGCTATATACATATAATTAGTGGTCGGTATTTAAGTCACACCCGATATACGATTTTTGATTGAAATTTTTGCATTGCGATAATGAAATTATTGTAACTTGTATAATTTATCGCATCTAATTGATTTGCTACTTTATTAAATTCGTTCTGAAAAAGTGCCGCTAAAAGATTAAAAAATATTTTTATATGTAACAGAATATTGGCTTCAGTTTCTAGTGGACTCATCTTTTATTGAACTTAAGAAATCGCATTTCTCTCTTTCTCTCTCTCTCACTCAGGAAGATTCTATATTAATGTAGTAAGTTGCGCGAGAGGAAATCGTTGTGCGCGGAAGACGAGAAGCGGTTCGGAGCACGGAAAGGAGGTCAGAGAGGGGCCAAAAATCTATTGCAAAATAATAAGTTATCTCCCGACGACTTTTGCCGACGTGTCTTCCGCGGCTGGCTTCTCCCCGAGGTTACCTCATTATTTCTAACTGATGACGCCATAATTCAGGTTCTCGGCGACGTACAAGAAAATGGACTTCCCCGGCCTCGTCTTGCACTTTGCCGGCGAGCTCCCGTGCGACATGGCACCGTGTCTGGTTTTGCTATTCCATCCAATTAAATGCCTAATCAATTATCCCGCCGACGACGAGTTGCCGCCCTTTCTTGTAGACATCTTTGCAACCGCGCTCTTATGCAGCTCATTACGATAAGGCATGCGGATCTCTCATTGTTTGCGAATCTCGTTCTAAAGTACATCGAATTAGTGTTGAAAATTCTTTCACGTTACCGCCGACAAAAGTCTTGGTTTACAAATAAAAACGACGAATTCGTGTTGGCTGTAGCTACGTCTTAGTCTGCGATCCCCTGCACAATTTATAAGTTAAACTAACTAGTAACTAATTATTTTTGCCCGTTTGTTTGTTGATATTTTATTTTATTCAAGTATCATTAAAATTTTACAGCAATTTAATTTTCCTAATCATATTTATTGCAGTTTCAATTTATTGCTATTATTTATTGTTGTTGTTTATACTCGAGGGAGAATATGAACTAGTTTCGTGGATACGTAGCGAACTTTCTTTTCGTTTTCCAGTATCAATCAATTAGTGCAATTAGACTGCCGTCTGAATGAATCTGTCTAATTGCATTCTGCTCACCAAGTTTGTTATTGGTACTAACAAACTTCAATCAATTTTGTGCTTTCAGATTTCCGGACACTTACATAATACTGGGCAATTCCTGGTATTCAGAGCAGACAGGGAGGCGAAGATACGGGTTAATATAACGGGTGGCCCGCTCGCCTATCACTATCAGTTCGAAGAGATATATATTCACTATGGAATGGACGACGGTCATGGTTCCGAGCATCGTATTAATAACTATGCTTTCCCCGCTGAAGTGAGTAGAATGCACAATATATAAAATATTCCGGCTATGTATATTACATCACAATTCGATTTTACTTAAATTAGTAACAGTCAATTATGTCGCAGTACAGTTGTACCCGATAAAATCGCAAATAAAATCTGTATTTTAATGACAGTGAAATAATCGCGTAATTAAATATATTAATTAATTTTTTGTATAAAAAGAGAACCGTACGCTTTAATGCGCAAATAACATTTTTGTTAAACTTTTTAATTCGGCGTGAAACATAAAATTGATTCGAATGATTTTCTGTAGCAATTACCAAAGATGTCCGTTACATTTTTCACAGAGCCGAATATATAGATCAATTCTATCGTTAATCCTATGAGGAATTTAAGGATTGAAAGATTAAAGAGATAGCCTCTATTATATTAGATTAAGGGAAAAAGAGAACCCATTTTCGTAGCTAATTGAATCGCAGATTTGCGATGACTATTTGAAAATGCTTACATTCTTTAACGGATATATGCCATTTGCAAGGAGAGAACCTATTTCGGTGATCAGTGGATCGAATGTTAATTATAAATCGATGCACTTTTCAATGTTCACATATCGCTCGTAATGAATTCTCTTTTCCTTTGGAGAAGCCTGTGGAAGAGTTGTAAGTAGCGATCAAAATTGATTTCGAAATAGATACGTAAAATGCGTTTCAACTAATCGTTACAACTGATTGCTAATCTGCGCTTCGAAAACGGCCCACGGTAACAATTGATTCTGAAATCAGTGTGTCGTTATTCGATTTGCGACAATGAAAAATTCAATATCGAAGTTGATACATATATCCGGCTTTTGACGTATTAAACTATTGAAACGATTGATTCTATAACAGGTCACAAGGCGTGCTTTTTCATTTAGTAAATTTTTTTTCAAGTTTCCGCAAATTGAAAATTTTATCCCAATGTTGAAAATGTTATATTTGATGTTTTGTACTTTTTTGGAAGTTCTGTCTCTTAGTTTGGAAGAACGTTTAAGAAATTCTTGTAGAATATCATTAAAAAAGATGTTACAAAAACATAATTGATTTTTATTAAAAAAAAAATAATAAGTACTTTTCGCGACGGAGTTGATAAAGCAGAAAAAGTTTGAAGATTTCGGAGATACCGCACGCTTGTAAGCGTGTATTAACTAATTATCCTACGGTGTTCTACGGATGAAGGGATACTTACAATTGCGATCGCGGGGTTTTCGGTTACGACGGCCACAAACGCGCGGTACAGACAATCATGAAATTCTAATCACGCCATTATCCTAGCAATCGCTTTACAAAGCGACAAATAATTAGAATTATCATGTAATTTGCAGTTTGCCAATTAATTATAACCGCAATGCAGTCGACGACCGCGCGTCTGTGACACGGGCACGCGGCACGGCGCGACGCGCGCTCACGGCCCTCTCGTAAAACTCCACATATTGGCGTACGTGATTTTATTCGCGAATAAACTGTACTGTAGAATCATTGCCGTAAAATGAGAGCGGAGGATGACCCGGGAATGACGATATAATTAATTGAAATTAATTACGTGCCGGCATCGTAACGAGACAAATTAAACATTCGATAAACGGGACATGACGGCGGCCCAATTAACTGTGACCCGTTTATTTCTCTCGGAGACGCGGATCCATACAGCCTCTTCCTGATCCTATTCTGTGCAATCTAATTTTCTTAAATCCACAAAATAATGGCGCGATCGGTCATCATTGACAAAGCTAAAAGAGGACACGATGATAATGTTGTTGCTACTTTTGTATTCGCTCGCAATCGGTACAGGATACAGCTGGGTAATTTGAATAGTGGGGTAATTTGGATAACAGTAAGCATTTGCAAAAATTTAAAAAATAAGAGATTTTAAGATACATTTATATAGATCAGACATTGATCTAACGAAATGTCTCTTAAAATCTCTTATTTTTCTGAAATTTTTGCAAATGCTTACTGTTATCCAAATTACCCCACTATTTAAATTACCCCACTGTACCCTAGTATATTCCATTTAATATATTTTAACGTTTTGTCAATTTTTCTGCAGACAATTGTCATAAATTTGATGGTAGAGGATCCATTTGAAAATTTTCAAAATTCGCTCGGTGAAAGAGAATTGATATATGACGAAAATAGACACGACATCGGATAGTAAAAATAGAAGCAAACGATATTCTTTGAAAAGATAAATTGCGATGGGAAAATTCGCGGCGGGATGCAGCCCGAACGGATTCTACACGAGCGGTATTACCAAGCCTGCTAAAAAATTAAACTTCCGAAAGCGAGCGCGCGAGCGCGGTTGAATCGGCGGAAATGCAATATCGATTAGTACTTCTCGTAAATACAGGTCGAAGGATACTTCTCCATCCTTTTTTCTTAATGACTAAAAAGGGCAGATTAATGAATCCGCGCAACCAGAGGTAATTATCGAGAATCGATAATCAAGAAGTCTAAATGCATTTGTAGGATGTCGATGATACGACCAACACGGATTTCTCATTTATTAAAACTCGGTGTACGTAAAATTCAATATGCCAATAATAACCAACTTCCTGGTCGCAAATCCCCTCAGATAGCGGTAATGAGTTACAAGCATTGACGATAATTTAATACGAATATCGTAAATACTCGTTAAATAAACGAGCTAAGTCGAGTTAATAAATCTCTTATTCACAGCTTACTCTATTTATTTTAAAGAAGCGGTTAAAATTTTTGTTTATTTATTTATGTGTCAAAACACGTTGATTGTTTAATTAATTTTTAATAAGAATTAATTGTGGTATGACCTTCATACAAAATGGATATCTTTTTCTAATAATTAATAATCGCGATCGCTTTCTATTTTTCTCTAACGTGTCCGAAATTGGATGGAAGTTAATCAGAAACATAATACAATCATAGATCTGTTTTTTTTTTAGCTGAACTGATTGCACTTGTTCAGAGTTCATCTCTCTTCTTCCAATGTAGAAAGAGAAAGATAAACTATGAACTTATATAGTGAAGCTAGTTCAGCTAAAAAGAATATGACATTATAATATGTATTTAGGATTATTTATATTTATTTTTCATACGTCAGTTGATTGATTCTATTTAAAACCAAGTGTAATCTTGCTTAATATGCAGCATTTTATATAGAATTCAATTTGCAGAAATCCTGATAAAAGTAGCTCTCCATACAAAAACACGATAAATGAAATAAATAAAAACAGAAGCGCACAATAAATGAAATAAATCTTTATGAAATTGCGGGCATAAACCATTTATCGAATAATATTTTTGAGAGAGAAACGTTTTCGCTAACATTTTTTTATTGTCAGCAGAATAATATTACCGCGGTGGAATAATTTTTAAGACTTTTCCAAGCCATTTTATAACATCGATAAAGCTATCTTTATTTAGAGATAAAGCCCATTTCTCCAATTCGTTTCAAAAGCATGATATATAAGATGTACGGGGGAAATTCAGGGAATATCGATCTCATATATATTCTTCCGGATGTGTGCGTGTGATATCAGGCGCGATACGCGAATGGAAGAATGTTGAATACCATCTAGCCCAAGACACGAGGAATTTAGATATGCAGTTTCTGAGTTTTAGGAGTGTATTTTTATTTCGACGTGCGCACAGGCATCCGAATACGTGGTTACCGTTTTTCGTGGGGCATAGATTTTCCAACAAATCGTGCACTAAAGAAACAGCTCGCAATAAGGATACGTACGCGTAAATCGCATTTTCTCTTTTCTTCATTTTTTCCCCCGTATTTATTAAGATTCGATACGCCGTAATTTAGTGCGCTATGTGGAGACAGAGAGAGAGAGAGAGAGAGAGAAGAGGGGTAATGAACGCATTGCTGTTTCGCAAGACACCAGAGGAGAGAAGCGCCAAATACGGCCGGCCATTATATCCTTGCGTCCCTGGTGAGGAACGGGCTTTCAATGGCGTCGTGAATCAAAGCCAGTCATCTACCATCGCACGGTCCACCACCACCCCCCTCCCCTAGTCAAGCTTATTCGCCGCCTCCTCTATACAGGCCACCGACTATGCGAGAGCGTATGTGAATTAATTTGGTGGCTGCAAGAAAGGCAGATCCGGTGTACTTTTCCGCTTGCCTTCAGTTGATCGAGAATCAACTGAAGAAGGGTTTGCTAGTTGTAAGTTAAAGAAAGAGACGTCGAGATTCTCTCAGAGGCTTTATTTTTGTATTGTATATAAGAGAGCGAGGGACACTTGAGAGGGAGGGAATCTTGTTTCGTCGTGCAATTCCCGGAAATAAAACTATATCTTGTGCCAAATGCGGAAATGTCTTGAATTACTAAGACTATTTATCAGGCAGTCGAGAGCTGTAATCAGACGTTCCGGAGATAATCCGGGGAAGGTGCGAATGTTAGGTGAATAAATATAACAGACGATAATCGCGCGGCACATAACGTTATACAGTCAATAAAGAGAGCATAGCATGTTTATTGATCATTAATTCAGTACTCCCGGTGGAAAAGGTAAACACAATTACATTCGGCACCGGTAAACACGATGCATTATGCCAGGTGTACCATATAATACCGTACACGTTCAACGGACGCTTGTGTGCTTGATGACAAAAGTTACTCGCTCAATTTAGAAAGAGATCGCATTCACTGAAACACCGGTTATGAACCCCCGAAGCTGCAAAATTAAATGTCGAATCTCGATCGCTGATCGTCGTCCCACGTGATTATAAAATCGAAATTTCTGACACACTAAGTCTACAGACGCGCGCTTCGCTATTTAGCTTCGCTTTTTCTTTACCTCTCACTAAATAACGTTCACATATGTATATAATTACAAAATATATATACATTATTTACAATAATTATTCACATTGTATTGCACTATTAATCCTTCAACATGCACAACTGTCAAAATATAAATACGATGACAGCCCCTCACAAAGTAAGATCAATGAGAGAATCAGCGTCGCAGAAAAAAGCCGACAACTTTGAGATTTTCGATA